ATCCTGACTCGGTATAGAGGAAGACAACGATTTCTTCTCGGACTCGCAAACATTCTCGATTTTCGAAGATTCAAGTTGCCTTTCCGTAATATCAGATTGTAAAGGTTCGCTACGTATGAAACACAAATTTGTTAATAACATAGTAACATACGTATGTATTTTATTATATCCATATCCAATTTGCGAATTGGAACATGTATCAGAAAGTTTAAAGTTGATGAATTTTCTTGATATTTATTTAGTCTCTTTCTCTCTTACAAGCGAATAAGGTAATGCTCACAGAAAAATTTGCAAAATGTGATTTCAGATTAAAACAAATGAATATATTATAGCGTTAAGACAAACCAGAATAAAGCAATGAATAATTATCAACTCGGCGATTAAAAGACATATTATAAAGACATAAAAGTTTTAATTATATTAAACATTATATTAAACAATACTTAAACATTACTTAAACATTATTTTCTAAATCTTTTAATACTTGTTTGTGTAATAATTGTTGCGTTTTACATTTCAAAATTATTATTATTGAAAAAGTTTCATCTCGAAAAATCTGCTGAACATCGTTTTTATCTATCTTTATAATCTGGAAAAATAAATATTTCCTAAAATTAAAAATTAATCCAAAAGTGTTACAAAATCTGTTTTAATATACATTTTTAATATCTTTATTATCTTTATCTTCTTTTTCCGAAATGCGACTGTATATTCTTGTCTCGTTCCGATTACAGATTAATATTTTATTAGAGCTTCCATAATAGCAGGTAAAGGTCGGCTGCGTAAAAAACACAGATTTGTTAATAATATAGCTACATTGACATACGTTTATATTTTATTATGTCCATAACCATTCTGCGAATCGGAACATATATTCGAAAAATTTCATGTTGATGAATTTATTGGATATTTGTTTAGTTTTTCCTTCGTACAAATAAATAATATAAAGCTTAAAGAGAAAATTTTGCAAAATATGATGTCAAAAAGATACAAATGAATATATAATCGCGTTAAAACAAACCAGAATAAAGCAATCAATGTTTATCAACTCAACGATATAAAGACATGATATATAGACATAAAGTTTCTATTTATATTAATCTTAAACATTATTTCCTAAATCTTTCAATACTTGTTTGTATGATAACCGTCGTAATTTACATTTTAAAATTATTATTATTGAAATAGCTATATCCCGAAAAATTTGCTAAACATTGTTTTTATCTATCTTTATAATTTTCAAATATATTTCTCCCAAAAATATAAATTTATCCAAAATTGTTACAAAATTGAGTTCTTATACATTTTTAATATCTTTATCATCTTTATGTTCTTTTTCTGAAATGTATATTTTTTGTATATTCTTATCTCGCTCTAATTACAGATTAATATTTATTTCATTATAAATTTTAATAATAATATTAAATTTTAATATCTCGTAGAATGCGATATTAAAATTTATTAATTTGAAGTTCTTCCAATCGAAGAATATAATACCTAATATAATCTTTTCGCTGTGATGAAGTCTGCTTGACGAACGTCTCTTGAACATCTTGTTTCGGTATAGAGGTAGACGACGATTTCTCGTCAGACTCGAATAAGCTTTTGATACTCGAAGAAATATATTCCTCCCAAGAATATACATTTCTCCAAAAAATATAAATTTATGCAAAAATGTTACAAAATCTGTTCTTTAAACATTTTTAATATCTTTATTATAATTACCTACTTTTTCTGAAATGCAAATGTATATTTTTTTCCCGCCCCGATTAATGATTAATAATAATAATATTAAATTTTAATATCGCGTAGTATGCGATATTAGTTTAAAGTTATTCCAATCGAAGAATATAATACCTAATAGATTCTTCTCGATTTGATGAATCCTGCTCAACGGGTGTCTCCAAATCCTGACTCGGTATGGGGGAAGACAACGATTTCTCGTCGGACTCGCATAAGCTTTTGATATTCGAAGATTCGGACTGCTCTTCCATAATAGCAGGTAGAAGTCCGCTGCGTAGAAAACACAGATTTGTTAATAATATAGCTACATTGACATACGTTTATATTTTATTATGTTCATATCTATCCTATGAATCAAAACATGTATTCGAATATATTAGTTGATGAATTTATTGGACATTTTTCCTCTTACAAATAAATAATATAAAGCTTAAAGTAAAAATTTTGGAAAATGTGATGTCAAAAAGATGTAAATGTATATATAACCGCGTTAAAACAAATCAGAATAAAGCGTTTTTCAACTCAGCGATGTAAAGACATTTTATAAAGATATAAAATTTTTAATTATATTAACATGAAACATTATTTTCTGAATGTTCTAATACTTGTTTGTAATAATCGTTTCGCTTTACATTTCAAAATTATTATTATTGAGAAAGTTTCATCTCGAAAAACTTGCTGAACATCGTTTTTATCTATCTTTATAATCTTGAAAAGTTAATTTTATTATAAATTTTAACAATAATATTAAATTTTAATATCGCGTAGTATGCGATATTAGTTTGAAGTAATTTGAATCAAAAAATATAATACCTATCATCATCTGCTTCACTTGATGAAGCCTGCTCACTGGATGTGCCCAAATCATAATACCTATCATCATCTGCTTGACTTGATGAAGCCTGCTCACTGGATGTGCCCAAATCATAATACCTATCATCATCTGCTTGACTTGATGAAGCCTGCTCACTGGATGTGCCCAAATCATAATACCTATCATCATCTGCTTGACTTGATGAAGCCTGCTCACTGGATGTGTCCACATCATCATGCTCCGATATAGAGAAAGATTTTTTCTCGGTCTCGCAGACATTCGAAGATTCGGGCTGCTCTTCCGTAATATCAGATTGTTTTCTGCGTAGACGTTTATACCTTATTATATCCATATCTATTCTGCGAATAGAAACATGTATGCAAGAAACTATAAGTCGATGAATTTATTTGATATATGTTTAGTTTCTCTCTTTTATCAATAAATAATGCAAAGCTTAAAGAAAAGATTTGTAAAATGTGATGTCAGAAAGATATAAATAAATATATGATCGCGGTAAGACAAATCAGAATAAAGCAATAAACGTTTTTCAACTCAGCGATGTAGACATCTCATAAAGATATAAAATTTTAATTATATTAACATGAAACATTATTTTCTGAATGTTCTAATACTTGTTTGTAATAATCGTTGCGTTTTACATTTCAAAATTATTATTATTGAAAAAGTTTCATCTCGAAAAATCTGCTGAACATTGTTTTTATCTATCTTTATAATCTTGAAAAGTAAATATTTCCTAAAATTAAAAATTAATCCAAAAGTGTTACAAAATTAGTTTTTATATGCATTTTTAATATCTTTATTATCTTTATCTTCTTTTTCTGAAATGCGACTGTATATTCTTGTCTCGTTCCGATTACAGATTGATATTAATTTCATTATAAATTTTAATAATATTATTAAATTTTAATATCGCGTAATATGCGTTATTAGTTTGAAGTTATTACAATCGGAGAATATATTACTTAATAGATTCTTCTCGATTTGATGAATCCTGCTCGACGGGTCTCTCCAAATCTTGACTCTGTATAGAAGAAGACAACGATTTCTTCTCGGACTCGCAAACATTCTTGATTTTCGAAGATTCGGGTTGCCTTTCCGTAATATCAAATTGTAAAGGCTCGCTGCGTAAAAAATACAAATTTGTTAATAACATAGTTACATACGTTTGTATTTTATTATGTCCATATCCATTCTGCGAATTGGAACATGTATCAGAAAGTTTAAAGTTGATAAATTTTCTTGAAATTTGTTTAGTCTTTCTCTCTCTCTTACAAACGAATAAGATAATGCTTACAGAAAAATTTGCAAAATGTGATTTCAGATTAAAATAAATGTATTTATAATAGTGTTAAGAAAAACCAGAATAAAGCAATAAACGTTTTTCAACTCAGCGATGTAGTTTATAAATTTTAACAATAATATTAAATTTTAATATCGCGTAGTATGCGATTGTAGTTTGAAGTAATTTGAATCAAAAAATATAATACCTATCATCTGCTTGACTTGATGAAGATAGCTCACCGGATGCGTCCAAATCATCATGCTCCAATATAGAGAATGATTTGGTCTCGGACTCGCAGACATTCAAAGATTCGGGCTGCTCTTCCGTAATATCAGCTTGTTTCCTGCGTAGAAAACACCGATTTTTTAATACCAAAGTTACATTGATATATGTTTATACCTTATTATATCTATATCCATTCTGCGAATAGGAACGTGTATGCGAGAAACTATATCGATGAATTTATTTGATATATGTTTAGTTTCTCTCTTTTATCAATAAATAATGCAAAACTTAAAGAGAAGATTTGTAAAATGTGATGTCAGAAAGATATAAATAAATATATGATCGCGGTAAGACAAATCAGAATAAAGCAATAAACGTTTTTCAACTCAGCGATGTAGACATCTCATAAAGATATAAAATTTTAATTATATTAACAGGAAACATTATTTTCTATATCTTCTAACACTTGTTTGTGTAATAATTGTTGCGTTTTACATTTCAAAATTATTATTATTGAAAAAGTTTCATCTCGAAAAATCTGCTGAACATCGTTTTTACCTATCTTTATAATCTTGAAAAATAAATATTTCCTAAAATTAAAAATTAATCCAAAACTGTTACAAAATCTGTTTTTATATACATTTTTAATATCTTTATTATCTTTATCTTCTTTTTCTGAAATGCGACTGTATATTCTTGTTCGTTCCGATTACAGATTAATATTTTATTAGATTATATTAATTTTATTATAAATTTTAACAATAATATTAAATTTTAATATCGCGTAGTATGCAAAATTAGTTTGAAGTAATTTGAATAAAAAAATATAATACCTATCATCATCTGCTTGACTTGAAGCCTGCTCACTGGATGTCTCCATATCATCATGCTCCGATATAGAGGAAGACAACGATTTCTTCTCGGACTCGCAGACATTCTCAGATTCGGGTTGCTCTTCCGTAATATCAGATCGTTTGCTGCGTAGAAAACACCGATTTTTTAATACCAAAGTTACATTGACATACGTGTATACTTTATTATATCCATATCAATTCTGCAAATAGGAACATGTATTCAAGAAACTATAAGTCGATGAATTTATTTGATATTTGTTTAGTCTCCCTCTTTTACAAATAAATAATGCAAAGCTTGAAGAAAAGATTTGTATAATGTGATGTCAGAAAGATACAAATGAATATATAATCGTGTTAAGACAAAAATCAGAGTAAAGCAATAAACATATTTCAACTCAGCGATGTAAAGACATCTCATAAAGATATAAAATTTTAATTATATTAACATGAAACATTATTTTCTAAATCTTCTAATACTTTTTTTTGTGTGATAATTGTTGTGTTTTGCATTTCAAAATTATTATTATTGAAAAAGCTTCATCTCAAAAAAATTGCTAAACATTGTTTTTATCTATCTTTATAATCCTGAAATATATTTCTTCCAAAAATATAAATTAATACAAAAAAAGTGTTACAGAATCTGCTTTTTATACATTTTTAATATCTTTATTATTTTTACCTTTATTATATTTCTTTTTCTGAATTGCGTTTGTATATTCTTGTCACGCTCCGATTACAGACTGATATTAATTTCATTATAAATTTTAATAATCATATTAAATTTTAATATCGCGTAGTATGCGATATTAGTTTGAAGTAATTTAAATAAAAAAATATAATACCTATCATAATGTATTTGACTTGATGAAGCCTGCTCACTGGATGTCTCCGAAACATGCCTCAATGTAGAAGGAACCGATGATTTCTCGTCGGACTTGGAGAAATTGTCATCCGAAGATCTGGGTTGCATCTCTATATTATCAGATAGTGGAAATCTGCGAAGAAAACACCGATTTGTAAGAACATACTTACATTGGCATATGTTTATATTTTGTTATGTTCATATCCAGTCTGCGTATCGGACCATGTAGTCGAAGACCTTTTAGTCGATAAATTTATTTGATATTTTTTTAGTCTTGCAAATAAATAATGTAAAGAGCGTTGAGACATACCAGAACAAAGCAATAAACGTTTTTCAACTCTATATAAAGACATAACACAAATTTTCTAATTGTTTTAACTTTGAACATTATTTTCTAAATCTTTTAAATATTTTTTTGTGTGATAATCATTGCGTTTCAATATTAGTTTTAGTGAAAAAGTTCTATCTCTCGAGATATTTGCTAAACATCGTTTTTATCTATCTTTATAATCTTGAAAAATCAATTTCTCTTAAAAATATAAATTAATCCAAAAGTGTTACAAAATCTGTTTTTCTTTTTATTTTTTTTATACATTTTTAACATTTTTATTCTCTTTACCTTTTTTTTTTTGATTGTCGTTTTTCCGGAGATTTGCGTCTCTTTTCCATAGTATCAGATTATAAAGGTTTTCTGCAAAGAAAATACTAATTTGTTAATAACATAATCACATTGACATACGTTTATATTTTTTTACATCCATATCCATTTTGCGAATCGGAACATATATTGGAGAAACTTTTAGTCGATGAATTTATTTGGTATTTGTTTAGTTTTTCTCTCTCTCTTGCAAATGAATAATGTAAAACTTAAAAAAAATTTTCAAAATGGCTTGTCAGAGTGAAACAAATGAATATATTATCGTTAAGACAAACCAGAACAAAGCAATAAAACGTTAGTCAACTCAGATATAAAAACATAATATAAACACAAAATTCCTTATTATATTAACCTTAAACATTATTTTCTAAATATTTTAAATACTTGTTTGTGTGATAATCGTTGCATTTTGCATTTCAAAATTATTATTAGTGAAAAAGTTCCATCTCGAAAAATCGGTAAACATCGTTTTTATCTATTTTTGTAATTCTGAGAGAAATAAATTCCTCCCAAGAATATAAATTAATCCAAAAAGTTTTACAAAATCTGCTTTTTTATACATCTTTATTATTTTAATTATCCTTACTTTCTTTTTTTGAAATGCGACTGTACGACTGTCCTCTTATCTCGCTCCGATTACAGAAATGCAAATATGTACGAAACCACAAGTCGTTAAGAATCGTAATTCGATCTTGTAAATATAACGAGAAAGAGAGAGTTCGGAATTATACCAGCACACAATATAATCAAAATGTAACTGCCAGATGATATCGATCGAAAATCACACCAAGTGTCCTCGACACTGACGAAACAAAGCTAAGGTATATATCTGCGATGTTTACTGCTTTTTTCAATATTTTTTTCGTAATTCTGCCGTGTTGGTAATACGTTCTTACGCACATGCTTGAAACCATGTTTCGTCTTATTTACCAACGGTCCGAATTTCCTCGTTTCTCCTTCTTACAGCACTCTCTATCAAGTCTATCTGCTTTGATATCGATATTTCCGTTTCGGATCGATCTCAGTTTCGCGTATCGATCAATGTGAGGACTCTTGATTCGGCACGCGCTGATTTCTTATAATGTGACATGAGTGGTAATACAACGGGAGACAATGAGGGAGAGTGCAAAAAAATCCAAAGGGATGCAATCGAACGTTGGCATGCGTTTGCCTATTGTATTTGCTTATGTTAATTGTAGCAAATAAGGTTTCATAATCTGGATATATGGGATAGTTACGATAAAAACATGGTTCTTTTTAGTTGACACATTTATCATTAATATTATTATTATTGCACGCTTAATTGTGATTCAGATAAAAATCGACATCTGCGTTTGTCGATTTATTTTAACAAATTGTTTAATTACGTCGTGTGGTGGAATAATCTTGTGGAAAATGAAAGACGAAAAACGTCTGTACATAGTGCATATATTTTTAACCGTGAATCTCGTTAACTTCAAGCTTGTAGTTGCAAATATTGAAAACTGACACCAGAAATCGGAAACCAAGATATGGTGTCTTGGTAATTAATAAATATAATATTGAATATAATTTCTACAAGTCACGTATACGAGATATGTTTCTAAATACTTTGTCAAATCATCCAAATCCTGTTAAAAAATTTGGAGACAAAAACCGATTTTTTCTTAAAAAAATTTTGGAACAACAAAACAATTATTACAAGCTCTGCAATTGTACAGTAGAAGATAAATTTATATTTGATGTAGCTCTTTCTTAAAGAATTATTTTAGTAAAAATTATAAATAATTTGAATATAATTAATTTAATATTACAATAAATATTATGTTATTAAAACACAGAAGTTCAATTCTGAGGTCCGAAAGCAGACGGATGCTCTCATCTGACAATGAGACAACTGATAATGAAGAAAATGAAGATCGAAAAATGTGAAACCGTGAGTTTTATTATGTATGTAGAAAAAAAATTTTTAAATTATCTCTAACTCTCTATCAAGTCTATCTGCTTTGATATCGATATTTCCGTTTCGGATCGATCTCAGTTTCGCGTATCGATCAATGTGAGGACTCTTGATTCGGCACGCGCTGATTTCTTATAATGTGACATGAGTGGTAATACAACGGGAGACAATGAGGGAGAGTGCAAAAAAATCCAAAGGGATGCAATCGAACGTTGGCATGCGTTTGCCTATTATATTTGCTTATGTTAATTGTAGTAAATAAGGTTTCATAATCTGGATATATGGGATAGTTACGATAAAAACATGATTCTTTTCAGTTGACACATTTATCATTATTATTATTATTATTGCACGCTTAATTGTGATTCAGATAAAAATTGACATCTGCGTTCGTCGATTTATTTTAACAAATTGTTTAATTACGTCGTGTGGTGGAATAATCTTGTGGAAAATGAAAGACGAAAAACGTCTGTACATAGTGCATATATTTTTAACCGTGAATCTCGTTAACTTCAAGCTTGTAGTTGCAAATATTGAAAACTGACACCAGAAATCGGAAACCAAGATATGGTGTCTTGGTAATTAATAAATATAATATTGAATATAATTTCTACAAGTCACGTATACGAGATATGTTTCTAAATACTTTGTCAAATCATCCAAATCCTGTTAAAAAATTTGGAGACAAAAACCGATTTTTTCTTAAAAAAATTTTGGAACAACAAAACAATTATTACAAGCTCTGCAATTGTACAGTAGAAGATAAATTTATATTTGATGTAGCTCTTTCTTAAAGAATTATTTTAGTAAAAATTATAAATAATTTGAATATAATTAATTTAATATTACAATAAATATTATGTTATTAAAACACAGAAGTTCAATTCTGAGGTCCGAAAGCAGACGGATGCTCTCATCTGACAATGAGACAACTGATAATGAAGAAAATGAAGATCGAAAAATGTGAAACCGTGAGTTTTATTATGTATGTAGAAAAAAAATCTCTCTCCTTTTAATTTTTAAATTATCTCTATCTTTATTTTACGATTTTTGCAATTTTACAATTATTTCTTTATCTCTATTTTACAATTATCAGCTTTTCGATAATTGCTAGGAACCATCTCTCGTGAATTTCACGAGATAAAATTATTTATAGATGATTAAAAAATTAGACTATTGTTTCAATTTAATAGAAATATTTTTTGTAGGAGAAAATAGCAGAGATTAATAATGACAATATTTTCAGTGTCAGCAAGATGCCTTGGCCTTTGTTGTTCACAATGATTCTTATCTGTTGTTTTATTGGGCTGCTGTCAAATTGTTTATTCCTAATTAAAAAAAAAAAACAAGTAAGAAAAATACAGTATAATATAATGATAAAATTTCAGCAGAACAAAATGCAAATATTAAACGAGTGCATATGCGATACAAACATTCTGTATTCAAAATTCATTATTTAATATAATAATCTTGATCTAAAATTCTTTTCATTGTTGTTTTACAGTATAAATCACTAGTTTATCCAGACTAATGACAAAAGCGTGGGGAAAATTTTATATTACGTTACTTCCAAAACACGCCATTTTTTTATTACTACTGCATTTGTCAGTGCAGAATAGAACTTTCTAAAGCACATTCTCGTGGACAAGGAACATTTCATGCTGATCATATTGTTGCAGGTAAAAAGACAGTATATTTCTATTAATGCATCATATTTAAATATCTTGATTTAAATTAAAGTTAATAATTTAAAAATTGAAAGGTATTCGGCAAGACGTTAGATAATACGTGATTACATTAACGAAGTAATGTAAAAAAGCGCGTTTTTTTCTTAAAGTGGCTAAAATAATAATCAAAAAAAGGGCGGTGTAGTAATTAATATTATGAGATACGGTTATATTCGTTGATTTTGGTTTTTTGCGACGCAATTCTATTTTCTATGCTGTGAAATTTCAAGCACTCAGAAAATACTTACTATATCTGTAGCTATAAAATTGCGCATATTTAGATTGTTCAAGCAAATTTCTACAATATGATATAGTTTTCTAGATATATATATTTCTTTTGAATTAAAATTTACATATACAAAATACGTTATTTTGTAATGCATAATTTTTAGCGATACTTTTCTTCTTCATCAACATTTTTAATGGCAACAATCTTTACTGATAATGATAAAAACTTATCTTTGGTGCGGAGACTGGATCCTTGGAGATAAAAAGAGTACAAGAGATGCTTTCGCCTTTTTTCGACACGATAGCATATTGGTCTTCTGTTTTTTTTTTTATACATAAATAAATAGTATTTTTAATAGAAATAATGCACGATGCTTTCGGCAATTTCGTAATGCAATTTTCTAGTTGTAGCTACAATTTCTCCCAAAATCAATAATCCTTTCTACATTGTTCGATAAATGTCCGATCGGTCGGCCGAAAATAAATTTAATTCATTGCAATTCCGACGAGATATCGCAATTTTTTTACTCACAATGTTTTACTTTTTACCTGAAACATAAAATAAGCAAAGCTTTGCCGCATAACTTCTCGTTTGTTGAAACACATCATAGACAGATAAAATATAAAAAAAATGATTTAATCGATTAGTTAATCGTCTATGCATGTAAATTTCATAACCAGAAACTAATAGATAACGATTAAAAACAATACTTTTAATTTTATTGTCTTTCGTAGCAATATTATGACACCAATTAATTCGACGATATCGTTGTATAAAGAACGTGAATTATAATAAAAATAGCAATAATTATTCATGAAAACGAATTTAAAAAAATAATGCTAGATAATCATGCTTGTGTTTAAAATTAACAAATTGTATTAATAATTATTTTTGAACAATCCTGCTGGCAATGAAGCGAATGGAATTTACGCGATCGTTGGCGTACACATATAAAGAATGTAATATATCTATGCATGACCGTAATTTTAATGAATCTTTAAAACAATTGTCGGGTAAACGTTTCATTTGGAAAAAAACAGAAAATATGACTCTCCGCACAAATTGAATAATTTTATTTGTTGAAATTAATATAATTGTTTTCTAGAATATGTAAATTTTTTATGGAACACTTAAGAAGAAATAGAATTACGGGGTTAATTAAAAGCGCGTAATGTAACATATTTTTGCGGCGAACAAATGTAATTCGTGACCAGTTTCATTATTATCGATATATATGTAAAAAACAAATAATAAATATTTTCTATCATAAAAAAACACAACGCTGTGTGCACAAACGAAGCGAAAATATTGACATTAATTGATCTATTACTAAGCCGTGTGAGAAGATTATTTGAAAGGGCATAAATAAAGGAAAAATAAGCATATTGTAAAAATTAAGTATTTATGCAAAAAATTAAAGAATCATATTTTATAAAACATATATATACATGCTAATACAGATAAATTATAATTAATATTTAAATAAAATCCTTGTTTATCATTCACACTATATATATAATATTTAATCGATTATCATTAAATAAGAAATTAATATTTTGTACAGTTTTGTAATTCTGTGTAATTTTTAACATTAGATTATTTATTTTTATATTATTTGCATTTTTTTATTAAAAAAGTTTAAATTGTATAAGAACGATTAGTGGTATCAACTTAACGTAGCGTAATGTCTAATGATTGAGCATTACGTGTCATTACGAAGATTTGTACATATGCAATATTCGCGGTCATTCGCTTAAAAATACAAATGTGTTTACTAAATAAAATTTAGTAACAATCCGAGATATTACCTATGTTAGGAGTCCTAATGTGAATTTGTTTAACCATTTCTAATAGAACGCTAATTGAGCGCTCTTTTGACATATGTTAAACAACATATAACACGTTATCTCCTGCACATATCACCATTCGTTTCTAGTACAATGCAAGTAATGCATACAAAAATTTCATCACATATTTACATCAACGGATTATAACTATAAATTGTTTGCAAATTGGCTTTCAGTACAAAATTAAACAAAATTATTTTTTGGATCGAAGTCAAAGGAATAATGAATATAATTTAGTAACGTGAAAACGCAATTCGATATAATTTATAAAGCCCGGAGAATGTCAATCATTTGTACTCATAAATTTACAGCAATATGTTATAATCCGATATGTATACACAAAAAATACATATTGTTTAATCAAATATTGTTATGCCATATACAATACAATAATGCAATACATTAATTTGAAAAGTTTTATCTCCTCGAAAGCAATTATGTATGATCTTTATTGTCTAACAACCATATTCTTTTTGGCAATTGGTATCATCTTCTATCAAACGTCGTTTATGATAATCGATTTGATCTTGGGAGAATGTTTGTCCGATATTTTTCGCAGTATTTCTAATGTGTTTTTCTAATGTATCTTCGTTCAAAGGTTTGAAGGGAATAATTTTCATAATAATATTTGCTTCGATAAAAATATCTTTTACTGTATTTATAACATGGTTTATATCTGCACGCGTCCAATCGTCATCAATCTGCTCAACTTTAAAAACAGCCAATATGCTGAACTCCCGATTGCCATATGCTTCTTGATACGTTTTCGCATAGTTTATAACGACTTTAGAATGCTCTGCTCTCAAATTCTCCAAGACAATAAAGGTCGGAAACGTAGGTGAAGGACCGTTTCTCCTCCTTTTGCGTAATATTTTTTTTATAATGTCCACCGTGTATGGTTTGTCGACGCTTGTATCACCGATGAGAGCTACTACTTTTAAAAGAGGTGTATTTCGCTCAAGATATTTGGTCACGGCTCGTACGGTTGCATCGTGATCGAGTATCCCTTTCTCCAATTCGACAATAGAAGTCTCAAAAGTATCAGCGTGCTCATCATTCTTATCTACACGCACAAGTTCAACACGGGAATCAAATTCAAATAAACATGAAAATAGAATTAATATTAATAAGATTATGAAACGTTTCAAACATGTGAAACATTCCAACAAACATTCCTTTCGATGAATTTTTACTTTCATATCTTGAATATCTTCTGGTTTTTTGTCTTTTCGAGCCTTATCATAAGTTATCATAAGTGTTGGTTTTAAAGGTTTGAATCTTTTAATAATCTTAGTCATTATTGACAATGGTAAAATAGAAGCAATAAAAATTAAATATTTTGATTTCTCTATTAAAAATGCCCATTTTAATAATTTGTCCTTAGACATCTGTGTTGATATGAATTTTGCAGAATTCATAGAGTCCATAATTTTTTCATCATTTGTAGTTTTTGGTCGACTATCTGATATAACTGTAAGTTTTTTAACTTTTTGAGCTTTATCATAAGCTACTATACATCTCAAAAAAATGACTTTTTTAATAATCTTGTTTGTTATTGACTGTGGTAATATTGAAAGAAAGAATAGTATCAATTTAACATTAATTTTTGATAGCGCGACTCCAACTCTCCACATTAATGAATTATCCTCAACTAGTGATGCTGATACAGATTCTATAAAATTCATAAAATCCACGAATTTCTCATCGTTCATATCGTCCGCTTGATCGTCTACTGGCTCAAACGCAAATGAATCTGATGTATTATCATGAATATTTGCCGTTAAATCCGTAGATTCCTCTACTTTCGTATTTATCATTTGACATTTATCCTGATTTTCTTTGAATTTATTGTCACTGTCGTTCTTTTGAGTGTATTCTTGCGAAGATTGAGATTTTAACTCGAATGCGGATTTTGATGTACTCTGTCGCGCGATTTCAGTAGCGCCTGATTCCGTAGAAGACAGTTCCGTAGCTGACGATCCCGGTAAGTTCATCGTTTTGGTTTTAGATGGATAGTTACATTCCGTAACATTCATGCCTGCATCATTGTCTGCTAATACCTGGCCTCTATTGATTTTTAAAATGAATAAACGCTTGATTAATGACATGAGATATCTAATCTTTCTTAGTTAATCGCGCGTGTTAGATTTCGAATTGTTACGTTACTTTAAATAAAGACAGTTCAAACTTTTAATTTTATATCAAAAATATTTCTAAATTTTATTTTTGATGATTACAATAAATACGAATACTATTATTTATGTAAATAAATATTTTGCTTTGCGTTTCGATCTTAAACAGTTTATTCTTGTACAGAAATTGCTTTAATGCAAAAATATTATAAAATATAAAACAAAGTAAATAACATTTTATTTACATATTAATATTAATTTTATTATAAA